CCAGGCGGTGCTCCTGCACTGCTGCAGTAGGACAGATAACACAACCATGGCGTTCACTTAGTCCTTTTGTTTTATTCAAATGGCAAAACTTAAGTTCCAAGATACAAATTGTACTTATACTCAGTTGCGCCTGATTTAGAAACATTAATTATGCTTGTTAACAACTTCCAAAACCAACGAAAGCTGCTGTGACTACAAAGTCTCCCAGTCCGCCTCTGGAGTTTTCCTTTAATGTATTAAAAGTACTCCAATTTTCACTCTACAAAAAGGAAAACGATGCTGTCAGAGAAAGACAATGAATGACGCTGGAGCGTAAAAGACTTCATGAGGAAACCTGAACCACTACTAGGGACTGTAGAAAATCTTGTTTCTGTTCCAAGCTTCAGAATGCAGTTACAGTTCTACTCTCACTCTAAATAGGTACCTTTTGCCTCATGTATTGTGGCTAGCATCGCCCAACTATCAACAGGACTTAAAATGTGCTAATAGTTTAAGGATGTTTCCCAAGAAAAATTGGATAAAATAAAAACGTTCTAGAAACCAAAAAATGGAAAATAAATACTTAAAGATACTGGTTTAAACAATTTTAAATGAGTCTGAACTGAATAATATAGAAATATGCATCATTATGGAAGGAAAATAAAAATGCTTGGACTATCCAAATAGTTTAATATTTATGGAACCAAATTACAAAACGTTCATTTGATAAGTCAAATCCCAATTTTTAGTTTTGCTATACAACAAGAATCAGTAACTTGTGAGTGTGAACACAGTCCCTTTGGCTGATAGCAACACATTTTCCTTAATGTTCTATGAAGCCAAAGAATTTGATGTCTACCACTAAACAACAAAACAAAAAACAAGCTCTGTACTTCTACAAAATGCCAAACAGTCATCAAAAATATTGTTGGTACTTTTCCATGACATTTTAAACTATTTGCAAACTACCTGGTCCAATTTTTAAGAGGAATAACATTCTAATATTTTCAGGAAATGAATGTGGATAGAGAATAGTTAACACAAAGAATGGTATCCAGGCCAGGTATGGTGGTGTACACTGTAATCCCAGCACTCAGGAGGCAGAGGCAGGAGGATCCACTGCCAGTCTGAGGCCAGCTTGGGCTACAGGGCCAGTCTACAATACATAGTGAAACCCTATCTTAAAAAAAAAAGTGTCCCAGTGAATAAATTCAATTGTAAAGAATTTATTTTTTATTTTCCCACTTGTAGAGCAACATTATTGTAAAATCCAGTTATTGTAACCCCTGCATTGCTTAAAAGAACTACTAAGAATTTTGTTAAAGCATATTTTTTAAAAAACTGAACCAAAATAATGTACATTTTATCTCTAAACATTATGTGATTAAAGTCCACGTAATGTCCTCTGTATAAATCAATGTGATGTTACAGTACTGTACATGATCCGATTCTCATCCTAAAGCCTTCTGACCATGTATGATATCTCAGATTGACTCAATGCCTTTAATGTCTCAAGACTGCAGAACCAGTTATGATCCTAAGCAAGAGAGGAGAAGCTTTATGTACAGGGCAGGCATCAGGCGCTTAGCTGTTGGCAGCATCAGCTTGGCGAGGCCACCCTTCTTCCTCCACTCCAGAGTCATACTCTTCTTCAGAGGATTCTTTTGCTGGAGCCCTACAACAGAAAAGGCCAGTGTTTGTCTTTTAAACAAAAACTGGAGGTAAACATATTTCTAGATTCAAAACAGTAAAGTAATCCCCTTAGCTAAAAAATTACAAAAATACAAACTATTAAGAGCATTTTGACAATTAATGAGTATTACTGGTGAAATATGGGAAGAAAACTACTCTCTAAAACAGAGTTGTAAGATTTCCCAGCATTTCCCCTAATAGATTTGTTAGGATAAACCACAACTCACAAGCCAAATCCAGCCTACTGCCTATTTTTGTAAATAAAGCCACGTTTGCTGTTCCGCACGGTCCATAGCTGCTTCTGGGCCATGCAGGCAGCTGAGTAGCTGCACTACAGACCCACGGCCGTAAAGTGATAAGCTCTTTAGAGAAAAGGAGGCTAATTTTTAGAACAGGTAAATGAGGCAGCGGATGTGTTCAATTTGTCAACTGGCATAAAACTATTGAAAAAAAAAACTACTGATAGAACAAATCATGGAAATGTTTATGAAAGACGTTGAAAAATCAGCAAACTTAATGTCTTAATTTTTTTTTACTATTTTTTGTGTCACTTTTGATACTTTTTCCATAGGGGAAAAAAGTGGAGACTAATTCTGAAGATCAGTTTTCAGAACGACTCACAAAATAATTCTATAAATCCAAATTAGATTTCTCTATAGAAAACTCAGGCAACTTTTACTTCTCTTACAAAACAAAGATTACGCAATTTTTAAGAATCTATTTAAACAAGGATCTTAAATTCTGGATCTATTCTGGATGTAAAATACATTACCGAATGTATCCTGGTTCCTTTTTTCCTTCCACTACTTCTTTGTCAACCTCCACACATACGATATCGGAATTAGGAACTTCGAACATTGGTTCTAATAACAGCTTTTCCTAAAGGGATTTTAAAAAGTAATGAATTACATGGAAAATAAATTATAATTTAAAAAAAAAAATTTAGAGATCAAAGGTTGGGGATATAGCTCAGTGACAGTGCCTGCCTGGCAAGTGCAAGGTCCTAAATTTGATTTCTGGTTAAAAAAAAAAAAAAAAGAAAAAGAAAGAAAAAAAAGAAAAAGAAATTAGAGATCAAACTCAAGGAGACTATCACTAAGTTACATCCCAGGCCTTTTTAAAAATTTGAGACAAGGTCTTGTTAAGTTGACCAGACTGGCCTAGGTCATAGTATGATCTTCTTAGCCTCCTCAGTAGCTAGGATTCTAGGTATGCACCATTGATTTGGCTGAAAATGATTTTATTAGGCCATGTAAATCCATTCATTCAAGAAATATGAAGTCTCTATAATTGGTAGTTGAAGTTGATGAAAAATTTTCATATTCTTTATATACAAACAGCTTCTAACAATTCAGAAAGTTATTTTATGAATAAACGATCAGTCTGGGCTTCTATCTAATTAGGCCAACATGCATATACAAAAAAGACTACAGTGGTGATGCATGTCTGTAATCCCAACACTGGGCGAGTGAGGCAGGAGGACGGTCAGTTTAAGGCCAATTTGGGGTACATAGCAAGACCCTGTCTTGGGCCAGGGAGATGACTCAGTAGCCTAAGAACCTGCCTGGCAAGTGCAAGGTCATACAGGTTCAGACTGAGATGATACTTAAGAGGCATTTCCAGATTACTCTATGACTGAGGAACTATTCAACTGGCATTCTTCAGTCTGAAAACAGTACTCCTGGGGCTGGGGAGATAGCTCAGTAGAATAAGCGCTTCCCTGGCAAGCACAAGGATCTGAGTTCAATCCCCGGTTCCACAAAAAAAAAAAGAAAGTGGTGAAAACAGTACTCCTAAATGACCTTTACAAAGGTCTTCAGTGTCAAACTACAACTTCAAATGAACACCTGTCTCAAATGCTACATCTAAAATTATTCACTATAGAAAACTAGCTTTGCCTATAGGTAAGGGCTGAGTTATATCCTATCTAAAGAAAAATTGGCAATTGTTGTCAAAATTAAGTGTCAACTGTACTACCTATTCTTCCAGTCTGCATGTTTATAAATCTAGTTTGCATGTCTATAAATTGTAGGCCCTCATGAAAGAGTATAATTTCATAGAGTTCTAATCAGAAGCCTACCGAGATAAGCAAAGTTCCATAGTGAAATTCCTACAAGGGAATAGGAACATGGGGTTACTTTGTAAGCAGGTAAATAAACAGTAATTCACTATATAGCCAGACCTAGGGTGTAGGGAGAGAACTCAAGAGGGTAGTGGCAGGAAAGTAAATCTATGTCCCTAGGATTTGCAACAAAATTAAAAGTGATTTGATACTAACTGCAACCAGAGGGGTAAAATGTCATGATATCTATAATTTACGTTTAAACAAAATGACTTCAACAGGTCTAAGAAAAGGCTCTGGGATTAGTAAAAAAATCTATGTAAAGGCCAACCATGGTGGTGCCTGCTTATAACCCCTGCCAAGCCAGAGGCTGAGAGAGGGGGACTATAACTTCAAGGCCAGCCTAAGTAATTCACCAAGACCCATGTCAAAATAAAGTTTTTAAAGGATTTGAGTTGTACCTCTGTGGCAGGGAGCTTCTCTAGCGTGTATGATGCTCTGTGTTCAATTCCTAGTACTGCAAAACAGACCATGTACAATTTCCTCAAATTCTCCTTGCCAAGATTCTGATTTTCTGTCAGAACATATGAATGTCCCCTGATACAAACACCTTGCAGTTCCTTTTTCAGTGGTACTAGGGATCAAACCTCAACACTTTGAGTATGCCAGATAGATAGATAGATAGATTGATTGATTGATTGATTTGGGGGGGGGCGGGTAGTGGTGCTGGGAATTGAATCCATGTCCTCACAGGCACTTAGCATATGCTTAACCACTGAGCTATAACCCCAACACCAGAGTATCATTTTGGAAACAAAATTCACTGTTACTCTTCCCCACCCACCACACACACACACACACCCCAATCTTCTAGATAAATTTCCAAAACAAAAATGGAAGTTCATTATTCTCAAAATTGAGACCAAAAATAATGTAATAGTTTTTAGAATGACCCAAACTTACCATAATGGACCGAAGGCCTCGAGCCCCTGTTTTCCGTTCTAGTGCCAATTTAGCTATGGCTTTCAAAGCATCCTCAGTAACATTCAGTTCACACTACAAATAGATTAAAAATATATGAGACTGAGCCTATTTCTTGATATTTTCCCAATATACTTATACAGCTTTTGACACATTCAGAAACCTCAAACTTAATAATGCTCACAGGATGTGCAAACTAGACTGACCTCTGGGTGTTTGCTACAGAAAGGCAGACATGGAGCTACCAAATATTTACTTGGACAAAGAGATACCCAAGGGATTGGGGAGATGGCTCAATAGAATAAGTGCCTGCCTGGCAAGCGCAAGGTCCTGAGTTCAATCCCCAGTTCTGGGGAAAAAAAAAAAAAAGAGATACCCAGTATGTCCCAAAAAAGCACTTTGAGTGATAAGGCTGAAAGGATAGCCCTGTGTACCTGGCTTAGAGGGGCTGAGGTAGCTTAATAACACCATTTCTCTATGTATCCCTGACTTCATATTACAACGACAACTTCCATTCAGGAAAGATAAAAGTAACTCCTAAATGTCTAATGTGTTGCGATGACATGTGCATCCCTGGATTCACAGATCCACTTTGGGCAGGATCTCTTTTTAATCTGTTGGGATAATTTATGTAGAATTTCACTTGCAATAATAAATTAACTATTAAAAAAAAGAATCTAGAGGGCTGGGGAGAAGCTCAGTGGAATAAATGCTTGCCTGGCAAGCACAAGGTCCTGAGTTTGATCCTTGCTACCTCAAAAAAAAAAAAAGAAAGAAAGAAAGAATCTAACCTTATCCATGCTGAATAAGGCCTGGTACTGAGGAATAACAGCATTCCGGGGCTCAGTTAGTATCTGTACAAGGGTTTTCTCATCCAGGCTATGCAAAGGAACCACCACAGGCAACCGTCCCACAAACTCAGGAATCATGCCAAACTCAATAAGATCTCTGGCTTCCACATGACGTAATAATCGATCTTTTTCTTCAATGTCTTGGTGAGTATTTGACTCCCCACTTCTGTTAGCAAGGTCTGCAGCAGCTGCAGCCCTTCTACCTTTTCCCAGATTAGATGGTGTTCCAAATCCCAGATACTGCCAAAGAAATGATGCATATTATAAATAGAATGAAGTTACACTGTATTAAGTACTTTACATGCACACTCCATATTTTTGCAACAGCTCTATAAAGAAAATTCTGTTATTATTCATGTTTTACTAAGGTATAGAACAGGTTCATGGAGATTAAATATTTTAACCAAGGTCTTATAGCTCTAAGTTGGAAAGCCAAAATTTCAACCCATGTCTGTCTGCCTTCACAACTGAGAACCACTACACGACAACTGACTCTCACAAAATGAATTCTAGTAGAAACAGGTAAGAACTACTAAGGGAAGTCCCTTAGAACTCTCATAATGAGGTTGCAGGGTTTAACAAAGACCTCCAGACAAGTATGATTTCTTGGAATCATACTTGGAATCTCTCTCTCTCTCTCTCTCTCTCTCTCTCTCTCTCTCTCTCTCTTTTTTGCAGAACTGGGGGTTAAATGCAGGCCCTTGCACTTGCCAGGCAAGTGCTTATTCTACTGAGCTATCTCCCCAGCCCCAGACAACTATAATTTCTAAATGACGTAAGAATGAAAATAGGGATAATGAAAATAGGGATAGTATGAATAATAGAATGAAAACAGGGATAGTAATTTTTTCAAAACCAAAATTAATTTTGTTGTTGTTGTTTTTTGTGGAATGGGGGTGTTGAACTCAGGTCCTTGTGCTTGCCAGCGAAGCCCTTATTCTACTGAGCCATCTCCCCGGCCTCTCAAAATTAATTTTGTAGTTCTGTAAACAGGGCAATGCCTATAGAATAAACAGCCTTACAAAAAAAAAAAAATTCCACAATTCTACTAAAATCATGATTTGAGGCTATATTCAACAACCTGTAACTGAGAATAATTCATATTTTATAAGAAATATATAAGGGTGACAACCAAATCAGAACACTAACTTTGCTGAAAAAGACTAAGAACCACAAACCAAAAGGTATATATGGCTTGCTATAGTCAATATGAGAGAACTGTACTCCTAGTCAGTTATTAGGAAGTTTGATTTTGACATGTTATATAGCTTTCGTCAGAAGTACAAGAAGCTGGGTGTGGTGGCACACACCTGTAATTATTCACTTGAAAGGCTGAGGCAGGAGAACTGCTGCAAGCTCAAGGCTAGCCCGGGATACACAGTGAGTTCAAGACCACCCTGAACTATAGAGGGAGACCCTGTCTCAAAAAAAAAACCACCAGGAAAAAAAGGTACAAGAGAAGCACATACTACATGAGAACATAACCTAAACTCTAAGCTAAAAATTAGTTTGCCTTGTACTGAATACGTTGCTTTCTCCCCAAAATTTTTATGTTGAAATCCTAACTCCTAACCTTATGGTATGTTATTAGGTAATGCAGTTAATGGTATTGAGAGATGAACCCTTTGGGAGGTGATTAAGTCACAACCAACAGGATTAGTGTTCTCATAAACAGACCCCAGAGAAAGCTCTTTCTGCCCTGTGAAGTTCCATGGAGACGACAGCCACTGTTAGGACACAGGTCTGCAGATACTGGACTTGCTGGTGCCTTTATTTTTTATTTTTCCGAGCTCCAGAATTGTACGAAATTTCTGTTGTTTACAAGCCACCTAGTCTATGGTATCTTATTACAGCAATCTAAGCAAAATGAGACACTTGCTTTGATTCTCTACGGAATAGTGCACAAGGGCAGTCAGTGCATCAAAAAGCAAATACCTCTCATTCAATAACTTTAAAATTTTTTAAACACTTACTGTAGATAGTACTAAGTATATATGCACATTTATTTTATATAAATATCTATTAATCCTTATTAAACATTGTAAGAACTGAGGCCATATACCTGAAAATGCTTTTACCCTACAGGAGCTTATGTCTCAGGTACGGGGTCAGGAGACTGTACAGGATCTGTGGCCCTGGAAAAGAAGATCCCTGTACTGGGATGAAATCTACATTCTGGAGAGAGGTGACCAAGAAAATCTTCACAGAAGAATCACCTGGTCATTTAACAACCTGAGTCTTTTAAGATGATAAAAGAGGTACTTGCTGGCTGAAATTGAGCTAGGGAAAGTCATGAGAAAGAGGAATAACAGAACTATAAACAATTTCATGTTTCATACATATGATTGAAATCTAGGTATATATTTAATATGGTACTCTTAGGCTCCAATGAAATGGGCAGGAAGAATGGACAGAAATTTTGATATAGTAACTACCTCAAGTAATAAGAGCTTTAGATAAAACATAAAATTGAGCCCATCAACTACTATTTTTAAAATGCCCACACATGAATGCTACCTTGAAATCCTCTAATGTACTACTCTAAAATCAAAACAACTAGAAATATATTTCAGATGTGCTCTAAGAAAATCCAATGACTGGCAGCCCATAGAAGTGGGAGCAAAAACGGAGCACCCAACACTATAACTTTAAATGTTCCAAGTAACTCTCAGAAAAATTTACCTTTTCATTTTTCCTCCTGCTGATGATTCTGTCTAAACCATTGAAAGCACCAGATGCCACGAACAGGACATTTGTTGTATCAACTTGAACTGTTTCTCCACGCAGCTTTCGGGAATTCTTTTCTGGAACATTGACTATTGTGCCTTCTAGAAGTTTTAATAAGCCCTACATAAAGAGTGAATGATTTATAGGGTTACCATATTCCACTGTAATATTATACTTTAGATAATGGGATTCAATGAAGAAAATAATATGTGGTTGTGATTATGGTCAATGATGAGCTTAACTAATAAAAAAATCCCACATTCCTAAAACTAACATGAAAATCAACTGCCCTTATCACATTAATAATTCATGAAATTCTCTAGAGTGCCTACAGAACTCTAGACTGCATTTAGGAAGAGTCTGCTTAAAAAGTTGTAACTCTGACATAAAGACAGAATTATGGTATCCAAACATGATAGGAACATTCATAATTTGAAAGTAACTGAAGCTTTATCTCTCACATAAATACAAATTATATCCTATTTCCAGTTAAGAATTACCTGCATTTTAAGATGCCTTCATTAAAAACATTATCCAGCACATATTACTAGTGCACTCATAACCTCTGTATGTCTGTCAAAAAAGATAAAGCAATTTTCTTCATCTATTAACTACTATTAAAAGGCTAAATTGACTAGCAAATCATTATGATTTTAATTATGACTCTACAAAGAATGAAGCTTTAATTTATACATATCTCTTTAAGTGGAAGGAATAAGATGCATGTATAGTTTATATCTAGTTAGAACCTAAACCTTAAAAAATTGTTTTATCATTTATTTATTTATTCATTTGGTACAGGGTCTTGCTAAGCAGCTCAGACTCATAGTGATCCTCCTCTCTTAGCGTCCCCAGTGCTGGGATTGCAAGCATGCACCACCACACCCAGTCTTGTTGGCTGGCTTAGCACACCCAGCCTGGGGCCAGCACAACGTGGCACTGGGGATTGAACCCGGGTCCTTTTGCTTGCCAGGCAGGTGCTTAGACCCAGAACCAGAACTTTCTTCAGGAGCCTTTTAGACATCTTTTTTCCTTCTAGACATTTTTATTGGGCTTTTGAGGAATAAAAACAAACCAAAAAAATTATTTTTTTTCTGTTCTTCAAAATATTTTTACCTTCCTAACAAAGATAATCTGTACTTAAAATCACTAATAACTTTTTTTTAAGGATCTGAACTATTTTAAAATGGTATATGAAGTTTAAGGTGATAGAAATAAACAAAACAGAATCTAATTGAATGTGAAACCAAACGTACAATATTTGGGAGGTTGATGTATTCCCTTCCTTTTAGTGGGCTTGAACAAAATATTCAACTGCTTACTTGCTGAACGCCTTCTCCACCTACATCCCGTAACTGATGAATGCCTGGCACACTGCCAATCTTATCTACTTCATCCAGAAAGACAATTCCTATAATTTAAGGAGGATTCTATTTATAATATGAAAAAGATAAACATAAAACAGGCTCAACTTAAAAGACTAGATTGCAAGGTCACTCAAGTTTTCATTCTTAAAAATACAACGGCTTGATAGTTTAAAAGTATATTTTCTCATCACTTTGTGCAATTATTTTAGAAGTTATTCTATAAAACACTCAAATATGACAACGGGTACCTAGCCCCACGTTATATACCACAGAAAGCTGAGATACAATGTGGAAGCATGAGGTATATACATGGTGGTACTAATAAAATATTAGCTTACTCCTTTCCATGCATATTCTTCTCACGAAGGAATCTGGACATGAAGAGGTCGAGCTCTTCGCATACATAAGTATAAATGATAAAGAAGCAGCAGCATCTATGATACACGGGAGGTCCACAGGCTGCACTGTTTCTAGACTCATCTACTTTGTTCTCTCCTGCCCTTGCCCCGATCAACACCCGAACCCCCACCCAGCATTAAGAGACTAGAGGGGAGTTAGAAGGAAAAAAACAATGACAAGAGTAAGAACCTAACAATATAATAACTTGGCCCGTTTTTACCCTGCCATCTTAGTGACCATACGTAAGGCAAAGCAAATTCATGGCCCTCAATTAGTATGCTATAAGGTATGTAACAGACACCGTTGTAACAGAATTTTAGCCCTTGACACGAAATAAGAATGATCTTAATTCTCTCCCATCTTAACTCTTTCTCCAATAGACTAAATACGGAGATAAACAAGCTACTCTGACAACATACCTTGTTGCGCTTTCTCTACATTATAATTGGCATCTTGGAGCAGTTTGGCAATCACAGATTCGATATCTTCACCTACATATCCAGCCTGAGTCAAAGTCGTACAGTCACAGATAGCAAAAGGGACATCAAGGCATTTAGCTAATGTTTGTGCCAACAGGGTTTTACCTACAAACAGAAACAGTAACTAAAAGTTTAGCAAAAATATATTTAAGCTATGATTTTTTACAAATATGCAAAATAAACTTAAATAGCATACAAAAAAAATTTATTATCATTCAGATCTGTTGGTGGCTCTATTATTCCTGTTAAGAAGTTAGGGGCTGGCCAGAAAGGCAACACTAGTACATCCAAATCAGCTTGAACCTGAAACAAGAATAGGAGCAACATATCTAGAAGACATTCTTGGATTTTATTAAGAGTCAAAATCCCCAATCATGATAGAGAACCATTAATATTCTATTTTTACAAAATGAGTCATAAAATTTTCTTAAGTTATTTACCTGACCCAGTTGGTCCAAGCAGCAAAATATTACTTTTTTCAAGTTTTATGTCATCATGGGGAGAATCCAATACGTCACCTCCTCGTTTTTCCTGAGGTGCCTGTTGATTCACCTGTTGCTGCACTGATGCGCCTAAAGCATTACCATGTGCGCTAATCCCAGCAATCTGAAGCAATTCTGAAAAAATGTCAAAGGAATTACTATGGCTGCACTTCAAACTACATGGGGAAAAAAGCCCCATAAATTGCTAAAACAAAGCATCTATTTAGAAAAATGTAAGTATTTCAACATTGTCTTATTTAAAAAGAAAGAAAACTCCTAATTACCTAGTGACAATGTACACAAACAGGGTTATACAAGGAACCTCCAGAGAAGGATTCTTTGCATCCCCCTTTACGTAGGTGTAAGAATTCTCTTCACACAAGCAAGGCATTTGATGGAGGAAAAACAGTGTTAGGAGTTAGAAGGTTTTAGGGCTGTGGCCCTCCTTGGTCTCTAAACAGCTGATTGATCTTGGGCAAACCATGCAGACTTGATTCTGTTCCTAATCTATAAAACAGCAGTCATACCTGGTTATCAATTGATAAAAGGTGAAAGAAAACAATTAAATTGATTGGATTTGTTTTTGGTTTTGTCTTTTTGAGACAGGGTTTCACTATGCATTTTAGGCTGCCCTTGACCTCACTCTGTAGCCCAGGCTGGGCTCAAACTTGCCTCAGTCCTCTTGTCTCAGCTTCCTGAGTGCTGGGATTACAAGAGTGCACCACTACACCCAGCTTGGTTTTTTTTTTTTTTTTTTTGTATTTTAGGGAAGGGTCTACAGGGTGTTCAGGGTCTCACTACTAGATCGGACTCTAGTGATCCACCTGTTTGCAACTTCCCAAGAGCTGGGATTACAGGTGCGTGCCACCACGCCCAGTCTCAATCACTGTCTCAGCATGGGGGGGGGCAGCACAGCAGGGCGGGGGATAGAACCTCCTGCTCCTGCTTGCAGGCACTTTAATCTGCTGAGCTATTTGGCCAGCCCTGTTTTGTTTTTTGAATAGGGTATTGCTCTGTAGTCTAGGCTAGTCTTGAACTTGCTATGTTGCCCATATCCTTGGCTGGCCTCCTCACTGAGCCTCCCAAGTGTTGAGATTACAGCTACAGACCACACCTAGCTAATTCAGAGGCACTCTGAAGATTAAACCAAAGGAATTTTTTTTTTTTTTCAGTATGAGTGAAAAGAAGCAGGACAGTCAAAAAAGGAAAAAACAAAGTGCTGAGAATTAGGACACTTAGTTTCAGTGCCCTTGTTTTGTGGTGATGAGGCTATGAAAAGTCCTTCAGCTGCCCTGGACCTGCTTCCTTACCCACAACATGAAAAATACCGTTACAGTGTCTGCCGCATCTAAATGTGATTCAAATACCAGGCAGGCCAAGTACAGTAAATCTCACTATTCCTGGTCCCATCTGACTCTTAAATTTTATTGCATTTCAACTGAATCTTTGTAAGTCCCTTTAACATAGACACAAGATTTAGGTGGAATATTGCTGGTAAGGTGTCAATTTATCCAAAGGGTCCCTATAAAAACGAGCACCTGTGATCATATATTTGTTTATAACCCCCTCTTCTTTCCTCCATAGTACTAAAGATAAATCCAGCGAGTTATACTGAGCTATAGCTCTAGTTTTTATTGCTGTTTTTGAAACAAGGTCTCACCAACTTGCTATGTTGCTGAGGCTGAGTTCCAACTTATGATCCTCCTGTCTCAGCCTCCTAGAGTGAAGAAACTATGGGATTTTGCCTGGCCACTTGTTTCTAAGTCTTTTTTTTTAGGTTGTTTCTATGAACTAGATAAAGAATAT